GAAAGTATTTTAGACATCTTAATTATGTGTGTTTTGAATGAATGTTGACAAAATGGCTGCTCTCATGAAGGGCTGCCACATGCTTTCTACAAACATTTAATATTAATAGCCCTGTTCATGCTAAAAAGTATGCAATGGTGATAGTGCTTTAAATAAGTTTGGTTAAAAAGTTTAGCACAATTTTAATGTAAATTTTTTACATTACTTTGTTAAAGTATGTTGAATTTTGAAATTGAATAGGCACGTGATGTTGATTTTGGACAAACTATTTATTTAATGTTTGTGCAGGTGCACTGCACATGTCTGCTACAATTAATACTTGGTTAATAAGACAATCTGAATGTTTGTTTAATAATATAACTTAATGTCTGTTTTATAATAATGATAATAATAAACTAGACAAAGTTCGTCGAGACAAATTTTAAGTTGACTTGTGAAAGTTTGGAACAGAAAGTTTTAAGTTAAAGTTAGTTTATAGTTTAAATTAGTTTAAAGTTTAAAGTAGTTTATAGTGTAAATTAGTTTATAGTTTAAAATAGTCTAAATTTTAAATTAGTTTGAATTTTAAAGTAGTTTAAAGTTAAATTAGTTTAAATTAGTCTAAAGTTTAAATTAGTTTGAAATTTAACAGTTTAAAGTGTAAAAGTATAGTTTCAAGTAATTTAAAGTTGCTACAGTGTTTCTAGTGGGTTGCTAAGGTGTTGCTAGGGTGTTGCTAGGGTGTTGCTAGGGTGTTGCTAGGTGGTTGCTAGGAGGTTTTGGGTGGTTTCTAGGGTATTGCTAGGCGGTTGCTAGGGTGTTCTGGGTTGTTGCTATGGTGTTAAGCGGTTGGTAGGGTATTCTGTGTGGTTGCTATGGTGTTGCTAGGGGGTTGATAGGGTGTTCTGGGTGGTTGCTATGGTGTTACTAGGCAGTTGCATGTCATGGGCTGTCCTACACCATAGTAAGTCAACTTTGGGCTGCTCCTGCCCCCCAGGGGTGCAACTTTTACTCCACTGTGAGGTATTTTCTTACAGAGCCTGTCAGCCTTTTCAAATGTGGTATATTACAAGTTTCTGAGAAATCATCGCTATTTAGTACGGCCTACAGTTGCTAGGGTGCTGTAACTGGTTGCTATGGTGTGTGAATTTAGAGTTTATGAGTTTAAATGAGTAAGTGTCCAGAGTTTATTAATTTATGAGTTTAATAGTTTTATGAGAGTTTATAAGAGTATGAGTTTATGAATTTAGAGTTTATGAGCTAGAATTTATAAGTTTAAATGAGTCTAAGAGTTCGGGTTTAGAGTTTATTAATTTATTATGAGTTTAAGAGTTTAAGATTAGATAGATAAGTGTCATATATAGACAGGGGCGTAGAATTTAGTAGGGACGCTAGGGACGTGTCCCTACCAATATCCAGTGACCCTGATATATCCCTAGCAATAATTTCGATCAAAACTTAAAATATATTTATAAATTGATTAGGGCAGGGCAAAAAAAATAGATTTTTCGATTAATCGTTTTTTAAAATGTGGTCGATTCAAAATCGATTCTTTCTATTTTTTTCCATATTAAGGACTCGCGGTGGTGCTGCGTCTTCTCTCTCAGCACTAGGCAAGCGCTGAATATTCACTTGCACAATCGGGCCAGCATTGCACCGTAACTAAAGTTTATCATTGATTTTACCAGTTTAAACATTCAAGCAATGTTAAACCATGCTGTGCTCGCGCACTCTCAGAGATGTCTTTCACTGCGTGCACGTTAATAAAGCCTAAATCCGCCTCACAAACAGCTCGCCAGAAACAAAAGTTTTATCACTGGATTATATCGCTTTACTGTAACAGTTAAAAACACGCAAAATTATGTCAATACTGTCTTGGTTAGTAACCTCGTAAAGACAGTCGGTTATGTCTTAAATTAGCATCAAAATCCTGTCCATTCATTGTATGCATTTAGTGTATAAGCTAGTGTACCTAAAATAAAGAGTTTTACTGTGTATACAGGTTTGTGGCTCTTAATTTATTTGTATTAATTAACCACTAGTAAACTTATGTCCACTGTTCTTTTTTTTTTTTTTTATAAATATAGGATTTGTATTACATCTATATTCATTATAGTCAAAGAATATAATCAAGAATCAAATCAGGAATCAAGAATCGAAATTGAAAATCGAATCGAGAATCAAAATTGAATCAATCTGAGAGCTTTCGAATCGAAATTGAACATGTGAATCGATACCCAGCCCTAAAATTGATGTCCCCGTCCCCACCAATTTCAAAATCAAACCTACGCCTCTGTATATAGATGAGTGTATTAGTTTAAATGAGTCTCAATAGCTCATATAGTGTATAGAATGGCAGTTTGATTGAGTCTAGGGCTTCAAAGTATTTAGATTTGAATTTTTGACAGTTGGGCAGTTTGAAAATGTGAAGATTCCACAATGTTAAGTCAATGGGTTTTAGCAAAACCGTAAGTCCGATCAGTCTGAAAAACTCGAGTCAGAACAGTTTGAGTGTCCGTGCCGAGTTTGGAGTATGTGAAGTTAAAGCTCTAGGAGGAGTAGTAGTAAGAAATTTAAGTCTCAGAAAAAGAATACTAATAATATTAAGTTTAAATAGCATTTCAGTAAGTTGACTTTCACAAGCCAAATTAAATATATATTTATATGTATATTCACATACGTGCATATCAAATATTTTATTTATCTTAATTAAATGCTTATTGATTTCAGAATTATATTTCTATGTGAAAATGGCTAGAAAATCATTATAGTGTAATGCAGTGAAATATTTTTGGGTGTTTTGTAAAACTGGCAACTTGAGTTACGCAAGTATACATAAAAATCTTTTTGTTTATATTTACAGATGCCACGACCTAAGAAAAGGGCCCGCATAGCCAAGAGGCTTGCACAACGGTGTGCAAATACAGAGGTTCCGCCGCTTCCTCTTGAAAAAAAGGCAGAGGCTGCACCGCTTCCTCTTAAAACAAGTGAAGCAGAGGTTCGGCCGCTTCCTCTTAAAAAAATGGCAGAGGCTGCACCACTTCCTCTTAAAAAAGGGCAAACAGAGGCTGAACCGCTTCCTCTTAAAACAAGTCAGGCAGAGGCTGCACAGCTCCCTCTTAAAACAAGTCGAGCCGAGGTTTTGCGGCTTCCTCGTAAAAAAATGGCTGAAAACAAAAATTCTGACAAAAATTCTGACAAAAATTCTGACAAAAATTCTGACAAAAATTCTGACAAAAACTCTGCTTCAAGCTCTGCTTCAAACTCTGTCAAAAACCCAGTCAAAAACCCAGTCAAAAACCCAGTCAAAAACCCAGTCAAAAACCCAGTCAAAAACCCAGTCAAAAACCCAGTCAAAAACCCAGTCAAAAACCCAGTCAAAAACCCAGTCAAAAACCCAGTCAAAAACCCAGTCAAAAACCCAGTCAAAAACCCAGTCAAAAACCCAGTCAAAAACCCAGTCAAAAACCCAGTCAAAAACCCAGTCAAAAACCCAGTCAAAAACCCAGTCAAAAACCCAGTCAAAAACCCAGTCAAAAACCCAGTCAAAAACCCAGTTACCTCCACAGAACTCTGAACAAAACTTTAAAATGTACAGAACTTTACATGAAAATGCTTTGAATACTTTACCTGCATGTGTTGAATTTCTACAGAAACCATTACTGAAAGGTTCCTTTCATCAAGGTGATGCCCGCTTTGGAAATTCACGTGGCAGACAGTGTGGTGCCATCAGTCTGATAGCAGTGTTGATGAGCAAGATGAAGAACGTGTTGACCTGGACAACACAAGATCTCAATGGTGTATTGGTTGCAGGAACACGCCTTTATGAATCTTTACGAAACCAGGGTAACATAAATGACCGGGAAGTCATGGGTAGGCATTACATTGCTGTCCATGAATTACCAAGGAGACATGTGCTGGGTAATACTGTCTTTTCCATAGAATATGCAGAGTCTCTCACTGGATTTGTTAATGTTGATGACTATGATGAATCCTTAAGGAATGTGGCCATGCCAGTTGATGTAGCTCTTCAGCGAGCTCTATTGAGTGCTGATGCTTTCCTTTTATGTATTTGTGCCAACACATGTGCAGTTATTAAGGAGGGCTCATGGTATGCCTTTGTTGATTCTCATGCTAACATGACAGAGACAAGTTGTGTTGCTTATCACAGCACCATAGAATCTTTGTATAACTACATTAATGAGATGGCACAGTCATTTGGGGTAATTGCGCCACGATTTGAGATAACTGGAGTTTTTGCTCATGCAGATGCTGAAGTTTCTCACTCGCTGGAGGCAGACCGCAGCAGTTTTCCATGCTCTTCTGGTAAAGCACTTTACAGTGAAGTTCTAAAACGCAAACCTAAGGTATGCAAATCTGTGACGACTGAGGTAAGGTCATCTGTCTTTCAATCACCTGAGGCTGAAGTTCAAAATACAAGCACTGATGTTCCCATGCCACAACCAGTGTGTAATGTGTTGCCGAGTAAAGGAAAAAGGGGGAGAAGTAAAAATCAGTATGAACTATCAGAGAAATGGGTTACGAAGTCCCACTCGCTGGAGGCAGACCGCAGCAGTTTTCCATGCTCTTCTGGTAAAGCACTTTACAGTGAAGTCTTAAAACGCAAACCTAAGGTATGCAAATCTGTGACGACTGAGGTAAGGTCACCTGACTTTCAATTACCTGAGGTTGAAGTTCAAAATACAAGCAATAATGTTCCCATGTCACAGCCGGTGTGTAATGTATTGCCGAGTAAAGGAAAAAGGGGGAGAAGAAAAAAGCAGGATGAGCAGGTCTCTGAGAAACGGGTTGAAAAATCTCATGTTGAAAATGTTGTAGATGACATAATTATTACTGATGTTTCAATTCCAGAAATATTTTTTTCTCTCTTGACTGTTAGAGATCAGCAAGCTTTATGTGAACTTTTGCTTTTGACAAATGATAACAGTGACTGTGATGTTGCAACAAACTTTGGTCCCATTGCAGGTCCGTGTCAGACAAAGAGTATCAAACCAGATGGTAACTGCTTTTTCAGATCACTGGCATATGCGATTTGTGGAAGTGAGGACAAACATTTGAAGATTCGCCGTGCAGTTGTCAAACACCTGAAAATGAACGCTTCAATATTTGAGAGGTATGTGAGAAGTGAGTATACTTCAGTAGAGGACTACTTGATACAATCTAGAGTCTATTATTCTGGGTCATGGGTCACTGAAATTGACATCTTTGCTTCTGCTGATCTATTTAAAACAACAATAATGACTTTTAATGATGGCCGGTGGAATGCACACAAACCTACTGGAGAGGTAATTGTAAACAATGCAATATATTTGAAAAACTGTAATGGTAATCATTATGAAGTTGTGACATGTGTCAAGCACAGAGATCAAGACATTTGCGCAGCAAAGTGTGGGAATGCTACTTCAAATGAGGTGAGAATGCTATGTCTGCGTAAAAGGAAGGTAAGTGACGCTGCAGAATGTGACCAAGAGACCAAGAGACAGAAACAATGGAAGTATGAGAAGTCCAAGTATGATAGTGACATTGATTTCAGACAGAATAAAATTGCCCATGCCAAAACAAAATACCGTGATGTTCAGTTTCAGAAACATGTTTGCCAGTATTCTCAGATGAAATATAAAAATAATGTCTCATTTCAGGCAACTGTACGTGAGTATTCCAAGAAGAAATATCTTCAAAACCTGGCCTTTAACACAAGAGTGCGTGAGTATTCCAAGAAGAAATATCTTCAAAACCTGGCCTTTAACACAAGAGTGCGTGAGTATTCCAAGAGGAAATATCTTCAAAACCTGGCCTTTAACACAAGAGTACGTGAGTATTCCAAGAAGAAATATCTTCAAAACCTGGACTTTAAAGTAAGAGTGCGTGAGTATTCTAAGACAAAATATCACAAAGATGTAAACTTTCATTTCAGTAAAATACAAAAAGGCTGTGAGGTATATGCAAAAAAAAGGGAAAAACAGAAAGACATTGGTGTTGCCATTGCTGGTTTTCGTCAAGAAGTGAGTAGAGGTCCAGAGTTTGTGTGATGTGTTTGTCACCGTTTACTTTTCAGAAAGCAGGTTACTGAATGCAAACCAGAATGCTATGAAGACAAAGGAGACAAAATTGCTGCTTTGGCAAGAAGATGCATCACCCTGAGGTATGTGCATGTTTGTGATGAAAAATGTCATAATACTTCTGGTTTTTCTCCAAGGTGCAAATTGTGGATTTGTCCAACCTGTCATCGAAAAATTATCAGTGGAAAACTGCCTGAAGAGAGTGTTGCTAACAATATGCATTTGGTGGACATTCCAAATCAACTAAAGTGTCTTAACTCTTTGGAACAACATCTTGTGGCACGTAATATTCCTTTTTTGAAGTTACTCTGTCTTCCCCGTGGAAAACAAAATGGCTGCCATGGACCGGTGGTGTGTGTTCCTGTAAATACTGCAGATGTGTCAAATATTCTTCCACGAAATGAATGTGATGACAAGATGATAAGGATAAAACTGAAGCGCAAGTTAACCTACAAAGGGCATTATGAGTACAAGCATGTTCACACTGATCGTGTTAGAAATGCTCTGCGACGTTTGATCAGGTGCAATAAATGGTACAAGGATGTGGAGATTAATGAACAATGGATCAACTCTTTGAATGAACCAGAAGAGAATGTTGCTGAAGAAATGGAGGAACAAGCTGACGTTGAAAAGAGTGAAGAGGAAAATGATACTGAAGAACAGCCAGAGGAAGACTTGACTTACATCAAAGAGCAGAGTGGTCTTTTGTCAGACACATGTTTACAACCTGTCGATCTTGGTTCAGAAGTAATTGATCAGCACTTTCAAGATGTATTAAATGTGGCACCAGCTGAAGGTAACAGTCCTGTTAAATTACTGTCTGATAAAAGCAATGAAGCAAAATGTTTTCCTGTTCTCTTTCCAACTGGTGGTCCAACATTCCATGATGAGAGAGAAAGAAAGATCACACTGTCACGATACTTGAATGCAAGAATCCTCAACGCAGATGGACGTTTTGCACGGAGTACAGACTTTATTTTCTATGCACAATACATGTCGGAGTTGGATCAAATTGTATCTAATGTTTCTATTGCTTTGCGAAAAGGGTCGGACAAGAGGTTGTTGCAAGGAGTAACCTCGGATATGCTGACAAACCCAGAGTCGTTAGCTAAAATATTGAATTATGATGAAGGATACAAATTTTTGAGACCAGTCCGTGGAACGCCACCCTATTGGCAATCGACTCAAAAAGACCTTTTTGCTCTCATAAGACAACTAGGTATTCCAACTTTCTTTGCATCCTTTAGCTCTGCTGATCTCAGATGGCCTGAAATGATCAACACCATCCTGGAGCAAGAACAGAAAAATGTCAGTGTTGATGAGCTTGACAGGATGTTTGATTATAGATGGCATTGTTTTTTGAAGGATGTCATTATGTCACCTGCTCAACCTATTGGAAAGATCAAAGACTACTTCTATCGTGTAGAGTTTCAACAGCGTGGATCTCCTCATGTTCATTGTCTGTTTTGGGTTGAAAATGCTCCAAAGTTAAATGAAGACAACGAAGACAGTGATGCTTTGGTTGCTGCTTTCATAGATCATTATATCACTTGTGAGACACCAGGAGATGATGACGCAGAACTTTATGAGACTGTGAACAGTGTTCAAAAGCACAGCAGAAGACATTCCAAGACATGCCGGAAGAAAAACACAGTGTGTAGATTTAATTTTCCACGGCCTCCATCTAGCCGCACCTTTATAACAAGAGCTATACGAGATGACTTGAAAGGCAATGATGGAAATGAGACTGCAAGTGCAATTCTGAAGAAAATCAAAACTGCGTTAACAGAATCTGAAGTCAATTTTGATTCAACAGATGCCTTTTTCCAATCCATTGGAATTAATCAAGCTGTGTTTGAGAAGGCGTACAAGAAATGTTCTAAAAAGAAAAGTGTCGTCTTGAAACGAAGTCCAAAAGATGTTTGGGTAAATCAATATAACCCTCATTTATTGCGTGCATGGCAAGGCAACATGGATATCCAGTATGTCACAGATGCTTACTCTGTAGTGGTTTATATTATTAGTTACATCACAAAAGCAGAACAAGAAATGGGACTGTTGTTGCAACGTGCACAAAATGAAGCTATGAATGGAAATCTTGAAGCAAGATCATCATTAAAAATGTTGGGAAGTGTATATCTACACAACAGAGAAGTTTCAGCACAAGAGGCAGTGTATCGCCTAACAGGTATGCACTTGAAAGAATGCTCTCGCAAAGTCCAGTTTATTCCAATTGGAACTGATCCTGTGAAGATGAGTTTGCCTTTGCGTGTTCTCCAAAACAAAGATGACCATTGTGGTGAAGAGAATTTTTGGATGAATAGTTTGGTTGACCGATACAAGAGTAGACCAAAAACAGAACATTTTGAGATTCTGTGTCTGGGCAGTTTTTGTTCAGAATACAGGATATTGTCAACATCTGAGCTATCTTCACAAAACAAAGAAAATGTGATCAAGCTTGACAACAATTGTGGTTATATGATAAGAAGAACTCGAACTGAACCTGCAGTAATAAGGTATCCAAGATTTTCACCAACAAAAGATCCTGAGAAGTACTATCATTCACTGCTACAACTTTTTTTACCACATTATGAAGATTACCAGCTGAAGCCTGAGAAGTTCCACACTTATGAGGATTTCTACAACAATGGTGCTGTGAAATGCGGAAGTAATGTGACTGAAGTAAAATCTATTGTTGATTCTAATCGAGCACTGTTTGAAAAGGACAGCGATGAAATGGACCGAGCTCAACAGGTTTTGGAGCTGGGTGTTGATTTGGAAGATGCTTGGGCTGCATTGTGTCCTGAAACAGAGAAGGAGCGCCATGAATGTATCGAGCTAAAGAAGAATAACGTACTTCCTGAAGAAGATGATTCTGACACACTTATTCCAGATCTTGTAGCGAACCCTCGAACTGCATTCACAATTGAGAACAGTAATGCTGCAATGTCTCGAGATGAAGCATTGGGTTTACTAAGATCATTAAATGCTAAACAGTCTGCAATATTTTACAAAGTTCGCGACTGGTGTTTACAAAAACTGCATGGAGAAAATCCTGAACCGTTTCGCTTGTTTGTTACTGGTGGAGCAGGCACAGGAAAAAGCCATTTAATCAAAGCAATATGCTATGAATCTTCTAGACTCTTGTCTCAGCTGTCTGACAACCCTGATGAGCGGAGTGTGATTTTATGTGCATCAACTGGAGTAGCTGCATACAACATTGGCGCTGCTACCATACACCACACTTTTTCAATTGGTGCTAATGTCAAACTGCCATATCAACCACTAAGTGATGACAAAATCAATTCTCTGCGTTCCAAACTTGGATGTTTGCAGATTTTGATTATTGATGAAGTATCCATGGTTGACCATCACCTTTTGTCATATGTTCATGGGAGATTGAGACAAATCAAACAAACTGGTGATTACTCCCTCTTTGGAAAAGTAAGTCTTGTAGCTGTAGGAGATTTTTATCAGCTGCCGCCTGTCAAAGGAACTCCACTCTATGCTGATACAAAAGGAGTGAACCTTTGGGAAAACCACTTTGAAATTGCTGAATTAACTGAAGTTGTTCGGCAACAAGATGTAACTTTTGCTGAAACCTTAAATCGTCTGAGAGTTCGTAAAAAGAATGAACCTCTAAGCTCAGGTGACATCAACATGTTGAAGCAACGTGAAACAGGAGAAGAATGCGGTGATGTTCATATATTTCCTACAAATAAAGAGGTTGATGAATACAATATTCAGAGACTAAATGAGGTTTGTCCTGAGGCAATCAGTATTCGAGCTCAAGACTTTGAGAGAAATCCAAAAACTGGAAGGATTGAAAAAAAAGTTGGATTTCATTTAACCGTTTTCAACTCCTGTTTGGCTAAATGTGTTTCCTTGGGTGTTGGAGCAAGAGTTATGTTAAAGAAAAATATTAATGTTTCGGATGGACTTGTGAATGGAGCATTTGGTACAGTTGTCCATATTAGCAGAAGTCAAAAACAGGACGACGATGATTATGATGATGACTTTCCATCAGCCATTCATGTGGAATTTGATGATCCAAATGTGGGAAAAATTCAGAGATCAAACCAACGACATAGATTTTCCCAAAATTCTACAGTAATTGAAGTTCAAGAAGATCAAGTCACAACCAACGGTGGATTAAGGCGCCAATTTCCACTTAGACTGGCATGGGCATGCACTGTTCACAAAGTCCAAGGGCTCACAGTAGATAAAGCTGTCGTATCCCTTGACAAGATCTTTACTTCAGGACAAGCATATGTTGCATTGAGTCGTGTGAGAACTCTCAATGGACTAATTATTCAAAACTTCAAGGAGTCTGTAATATACTGTAATGATCAAATTGACTTGGCAATGAAAAATATACCAAAATTTCCATTAGAAAGTCACACTTTCTCAAAGACACCTGGTATATTTACAATTGCTCTTCAGAATGTGCAAAGTCTTCAAGCTCATGTTCAAGATATTCAAGCTCACAGACAACTTATGAATGCAGATTGTATTTGTTTAACTGAAACATGGCTAAAAGTTGAAGACCAAGTACAAATACCAGGATTTATTTTCAAGCATAATCCAAGAGCTAAGTGCTATGACAACAGCACTCCCCTTTTCAGTAATTTAAAACAACAGCGAGGAGGTGGGGTTGCTATTTACTGTTGTGAAAACATGTTTTTTAAAGTCATCATTCCAGAACCTTGCAATTTGGAATGTTTGTACTTCTCAGTTCCACATATCAGTTTGAATGCTGCTCTGCTGTACAGGCCTAATTCATATCAAATTGATGTGTTTCGACAAAATCTGTTACATGTCATTACTGAGCTGGAAAAACATCCAGGAAAAAAAGTAATTATGGGAGACTTCAATGAGGACATCTTAACATCATCTTCAATTGGGACACTAATGGAAGTCCATGGATACAGTCAACATGTGCAATGTCCTACAACTGAAAAGGGTACGTTAATAGACCATGTCTATATTAAAGATGCAGAAAATGTTACAATTGAAATTGTTTCAACTTACTATAGTTACCATGAAGCAATACTAGTTTCAGTAAGGTAATTGACATTTCTGACACATAATGAAGACTGTATAACTGCATTTTTCTTTTCTGTGCCCCTGCCCTGCTACAATTAATCTGAGATTGAGGTCCATGAAGGTCTGTTCAAGTTCACAAGTGAAAACGGTATGTTATTAGACCATTTATTTCAAATCATTTCAATAAGAAAATGATTCATTTGTTGTAATTTCTGCAAGTCCACTAGTATGCTATCAAGAAAGGTTTACTCATGTAAGGTAATATGTCTGATTTATGCAGCACGCTGAACTAAGAAATGTATATAATTACACTGTCTATTCTGTTTTTGTTCGTACAATGTGACGCACATCTTGAGATTCCAAGGTCTATACAGTCCTGACCATTCCATACCAAGTTCTATCCATTGTTCATCGGGCACAAACCAGCACCTCCCATAATTGCTCTTCTTTCTGGAGCTCCAAAGCTACATCCAGTCAAGGTTTTTGTAGTTTTTATGCATTAAATTTGTGTTTGATTTTTCTTCATTTTAGACAATGGTTTTGTTTTTTAGCTGAATTTGTTTTTGATCTAATTTCTGCCAGTCTAAGCCATCCAAACAACACTGGATGCTTCCAATCAGCATAGGAAGCATCCACAAAGACTGCCTGCATTCCTACAGTTGTCTTATAAAATGCAATTAAGTTAATAGGATTACAAGAAAACATCTAAAAATGATCTAGAAAACTTCACATAGAAAGGTAAGTTGACATGATTGTGTACATTTTAATAGTTTAAAAAGAAAATATTTAAGGCACTATCAACTAACAATATAATTTCAGATTTATAAACTGTATGTTATCTTACCTTTTTGTCAGTAATTTTTTTTTTTTTTGATTTCTGAAACACTGAAGTCATAATTCCTCCATATACCCATCACAAGATTTTCTGCTCCATGAACTCCTCTATAGAAGCACACAAAATAAAAATAATATCTTTTTTGATCAGCTATGTCTGCAAAGCTTGAATGAAAGCATGTCAATTTCAGTTAACAGATTATCTACATTAATGGCAATATGTTTTTGTGTAAACTGCTTCACTTTCATCAAGCAGTTTGTTATATGTATGTAATCTCTGCAGATTTCTGAATGAACTGAAGTTATAATTTCCTCCATATGTCATCACAAGATTATCTGCACCATGAACTTTTATAAAGAATCGCACAACTATTAAGATGGTAAGTTTTATTGAAGTAAATTTAAGTTGTGGACATTTATACAAGCACTGATAATCTACTAATGGTACACTTTCAGATTTGTGCAGCAACTCTAACTACTGTTGATATTTTGAAGTCCACATATCCCTATACAAATGTCCACAAAAGGTAAGCTATCAGACCATGTCTATATTAGTTGTGAAATGTTTAATGTGAAGACTTCACTTATAGCACTTGTTGAATGAATGTAATATTTTCAGATTTCTGAAATTCACCAAAGTCCTAACTTCCTCCATACATCCATCACAAGATTATCTGCACCATGAACTTTTATAAAGAATCACACAACTATTAAGACCGTAAGTTTTATTGAAGTAAATTAAGTTGTAGACATTTATACAAGCACTGATTAATCTACTAATGGTACACTTTCAGATTTGTGCAGCAACGCTAACTACTGTTGATATTTTGAAGTCCACATATCCCTATACAAATGCCCATAAAAGGTAAGCTAACAGGCCATGTCCATGTTAGTTATGAAATGTTTAATGTTAAGATTTCACTTATAGCACTTTGTTGAATGGATGTAATATTTTCAGATTTCTGAAATTCACAGAAGTCATAATTTCCTCCATATACCCATCACAAGATTCTCTGCTCCATGAACTTTTATAAAGAAGCGCACAACTGATAAAACAGTAAGTTTTATTGAAGTAAATTTAAGTTGTGGACATTTATACAAACACTGATTAATCTAATGGTACATTTTCAGATTTGTGCAGCAACTCTAACTACTGTTGATATTTTGAAGTCCACATATCCCTATACAAATGTCCACAAAAGGTAAGCTAACAGACCATGTCTGTGTTAGTTGTGAAATGTTTAATATGAAAACTTCACTTATAGCACTTTGTTGAATGAATGTAATATTTTTTAGATTTCTGAAATTCACCAAAGTCCTAACTTCCTCCATATATCCATCACAAGATTATCTACACCATGAACTTTTATAAAGAATCGCACAACTATTAAGACAGTAAGTTGTATTGAAGTAAATTTAAGTTGTGGACATTTATCCAATCACTGATTAATCTACTAATGGTACACTTTCAGATTTGTGCAGAAACTCTAACTACTGTTGATATTTTGAAGTCCACATATCCCTATACAAATGTCCACAAAAAGTAAGCTAACAGACCATGTCCATGTTCGTTATGAAATGTTTAATGTTAAGATTTCACTTATAGCACTTTGTTGAATGAATGTAATATTTTCAGATTACTAAAATTCACCCAAGTCATAATTTCCTCCATATACCCATCACAAGATCCTCTGCTCCATGAACTTTTATAAAGAAGCGCACAACTGATAAAACGGTAAGTTTTATTATTAAAGTAAATTTAAGTTGTGGACATTTATACAAGCACTGATTAATCTAATGGTACACTTTCAGATTTGTGCAGAAACTCGTACTATTGATATTTTGAAGTCCACATATCCCTAAACAAATGTCCACAAACAGAAAGGTAACAGACCATGGCTATGTTAGTTGTGAAATGTTTAATGTGAAGACTTTACTTATAGCACTTTGTTCAATGAATGTAATATTTTCAGATATCTGAAATGCACTGAAGTCAAAACTTCCTCACATATACCAATGAAAAGATTGTATGCGGCATTAACTTCTCTAAAGTGTACAACTGATTAAAAAAGGTAATGTATAATGCATATATTCAAACTAGTTACTGAAAACATATCATTTTTGTGATTTGGTTTATTTCTTTTCCCCTTCTAGAAATAGTGACAACAACATTCTTCTGAACTATCAATTCAAAAATTGTTCTGAAAAAACTTTAAACCTATGCAGGCAGTCAATAGTCAATTGTTATTTTACAAATGAATACATAATCTCCACAGTAACAATGTTGAATGGATGGCTTGTATTACATTTGGCCTATGTATAGTTACTTTAATATGTGCCAGCCAAAAGAGGATGGCCTGCCCCTGCTGAGTCTGGTTCCTCTCAAGGTTTCTTCCTTTGCCACTACGCTGATTATGCTCCAGCCCTTGGTCCATGATGTTCCACACTGCTATCTATGGGAGTTTTTCCTTGCCACTGTCGCCTTTTTGGCTTGCTCACTGGGGTATTAAGGCACAACATGTTAAATAAAGTAATAAAGATTTTTTTTTAAATAAATTGAGTGAAATATACTTTGTCTCTGTAGCCATATACTTCATTTTAATGTCTTTGATTTTCTACTTGTATTAAATGGATGTAGACACTATATTTAGTATATGAATTGATTCTACAAACTTGGTGTCTTTTACAAAAAGTGCATCATAAAACAGCTTAGTGGATCGAGCATTTACATAATTTTCATTTAATTTGTAGTAAGCTATAATTTTTTAACAGTTGTTTTTATTTTGAAATATTAAAATTAGTAAGTGACTGTCTTCAGGACAACAGTTAAAATGTTGTCAAACTTGAATGTTTTAACTTTAAGTATTGTCAGTGGGCAAAGTTAAACTATTATATATGCATTTGTTTGGTTTAAAGCTTTATGTAGTTAACTTGAAATTTATAAAAGCCAGCCTAATTAAAAAAAATTAAGTTTACTTAGACCATGACAAACATCCAATCACACCCTTCTACTCTCTAGCTCACTACACACAATACACAAAAGGAAATTGACATGACCATGAACACACAAAGGCAAAAAGTATTAATATGAAGAAAACCGCTTACATTGCAAGAATAGTAGATTGTCAAGGACCGCTATAGCAATCCTTTTTTCACAAAACTTTCTGGATACTCGAGAATGAAAGAATGAACAATGTTTCTAAAACCAAAAGAAAGATTAAAACAATGCTTACCTGGATAATAAAGGAACAATTTTATAAAGTTGGACAGGACTCTAACTCACAATCTCTGGGTGATGTGACTGTTACTCATCTAGTAGGACCATTGGGGAAAATTGTTTTTTTTTATATATGTTTTTTACCAAGATGCCAAAGTTCCATTAATCAAGTCAAGCATGAATCTTTATATGAATGTGCCACATCATATTCTAATGATTACTTTTCAGAAAGACACTATGTCTGTAACACAATGGTTTTGGCTCATGGCACATGGTTAAGCTTACGCTTAAGCTGCAGAGGATATGCTTCAGTGTAAGAATGAGCACACAATAATCACACAAAAGAATTACTTGGCATCTCAACCAGTTAACCATGCTAAGATCTCTTAATGCTAATGTAACTTATGGTTAGCTAATGTGGAGCCAGAAGAGAAAAAAGAGCAGAAATAGAATGTACATGAAGAAGAGATAGGTTCAGAAGTACTTATGGATGAAATGAAAACAAGCTGCTGCAGCGCAATAGATTAGAACAATGCAGGAATCAACACAATTTTTATACTCATCCAACACGGGGTTCAAACCCACAATCGGAACGGCTCGGGATTTGTAACACATGGTTTAGCCGATTGCGCCACTCAGAGGACGTGAATTTCAATGCAGCAGAGGAGAGGGTTCAGTGTGAGAATGAGTTCACAAAAAAGTTCCATAAGCATGCTAAGCTATCTTAATGCTAATTTAGCTTATTACGTGGTACATCCAATCCTGGCAAAATAGACATCCTCGGATTCGACATGATGCAAGGAATCGATAGACACCAATTTTATGATTTTGTGACAAACTGTTCACAAGTTACAGCCTCTGAACCAATGTTGGGTCGAACTTGTTAAATTTGCGACATCATAACTTTTTTTTTCCAGTATAGCAAAAAAATCGGGAACAGTACTTCTGTGCGGCTCGGTCCGAAGATCATTTGAGCAAATTTTGGACAAATTTGGACAAATTTTGAAGGAGGAGTAGCGAAAAAACGGTTTTACATTCGCTCCAATATGGCGGCCAGTCACATTGTTGGAAAATGATAAATGAGATATCGTCTGAATCGGCATAAACCAAGGATCATAATGACATAAAGAATTCAAAATTTGAACAATATTTTAAAATGTTATAAGCGTTTTTAAAAAAAAAAATGATATCTCTGGAACACTAGGTGGCGCTGTGATCAAACTTCTCAGGTACCTTCGGGCCATGCTAATGATGATCCATACCAAATTTGGTGAAGAAATTTCAAATAGTTTAAAAGATATTGCAAATTATGACAAAATTCAAAATGGCAGACACGTGGTACATCCCATCATGGCAATATTGATATCCACGGATTCGGCATGATGCAAGGAATCCATAGATACCACAATTATGATTTTCTGACAAACTTTTCAAAAGTTATTGGCCAAAATAGCAATTTGTCATATCTCATGACCCGTAGGTGGCGCTATTCCCAACTTTGGAATGGGACCTCAGAACATGCTTCTGATGAAGTGTACCAATTTTCGTTTCCATTGATCAAACTTTGGCCGAGATACAGCCTCTTAGCCAATTTTGGGTGGACCTCGTTAAGTTTGCAACATTATAACTTTTTTTTTCCAGTATAACAAAAAAATCGGGAACAGTACTTTTATGCGGCTCAGTCTGAAGATCATTTGAGTGCATTTTTGGAGAAAATTGGACAAAATTTGAAGGAGGAGTAGCGAAAAAACTGAATACTGTGCATTTCAAAATGGCCACTACTGTAATGGGCGGGGTCTTAATGTAAGGTATTGGTTGTGATCAGCATGATGAGTGGAATCAGGTGTACTAAGTTTCATGTCTCTAGATCAAAGGGTTCAAAAGTTATAACCATTTCAATGTTGAATTTTTGAACTGGTGGTGGCGCTATAGAGTTGGTCCTAGAGGGTCAAAAATTGGTCCAATTACTATTCATTAGCATCACTACAAGTGTGCCAAATTTCATCATTTTCCTATGTACGGTTCATAGGGCTGCCATAGACTCCCATTCACGGAATAATAATAATAATAATAAGAAAACCAACAGATACAATAGGTGCCTCTGCACCTTCGGTGCTTGGCCCCTAAATATAGCTGCAAGCAGCAACACGGGGCCAAGCCCTGCAAGGCACCGCAATTAGAACAATTACAGCAAAGTTCAAAGGCTTGGCACCGCAATTAGAACAAGTACAGCAAAGTTCAAAGGCTTGGCACCGCAATTAGAACAAGTACAGCAAAGTTGAAAGGCTTGGCACCTCAAGCAGAACAAGTACTGCAAACTGCAAGTACAGCAAGCTGCAAGTACAGCAAGCACAGCAAGTACAGCAAGCACAGCAAGTACAGCAAGTACAGCAAGTACAACAAGTACAGCAAGTACAGCAAGCACAGCAAGTACAGCAAGTACTGCAAGTACAGCAGCGCATCAAGCATTTAAGCACCAATAGCAGTGCAGAGCCGCAAGAACAAAAACAGCACAAATTGAATATACATGTAAATGAAGCACAGCTAGCATTTAAGCACCAACAGCAGAGCAGAACCGGAAGGAATTGAAATGACAACTTTATACACAATTTTAAAGTCGTCCCAAATGGGACTCGAACCCACGACCAGAATGGTTCGGGAATCGAGATGCATGGTTTAGCTGATTGCGCCACTCAGAGGACGTGAATTTCAAAACAGCAGAGGAGAGGGTTCAGTGTGAGAATGAGTGACATGTTAACCAGATTAGCATGCTAAGCTAGCTTAATGCTAATTTAGCTTATGATGTGGTACATCCAATCCTGGCAAAATAGATATCATCGGATTCGACATGATGCAAGGAATCGATAGACACCAATTTTATGATTTTGTGACAAACTGTTCACAAGTTACAGCCTCTTAGCCAATTTTGGGTTGACCTTGTTAAATTTGTGACATCATAACTTTTTTATTACAGTATAGCAAAAAAATCGGGAACAGTACTTTTATGCGGCTCGGTCCGAAGATCATTTGAGCAAATTTTGGACAATTTTGGACAAATTTTGAAGGAGGAGTAGCGAAAAAACTGTTTTACATTCGCTCCAATATGGCGGCCAGTCACATTGTTGGAAAATGACAAATGAGATATCGTCTAAATCGGCATAAACCAAGGAACATAATGTCATAAAGAACTCAAAATTTGAACAATAGTTTCAAATGTTATAAGCGTTTTTTCAAAAAACAATGATATATCTGGAACACTAGGTGGCGCTGTGATCAAACTTCTCATGTCGCTTTAGGACATGGTGTCGGTCATCCCTACCAAATTGTGTGCTGATATGTCAAATAGTTTAAAAGATATTGCAATTTATGACAAAATTCAAAATGGCGGACACGTGGTACATCCCATCATGGCAAAATCGATATCCACGGATTCGGCATGATGCAAGGAATCCATAGATACCACAATTATGATTTTCTGACAAACTGTTCAAAAGTTATTGGCCAAAATAGCAATTTGTCATATCTCATGACCCGTAGGTGGCGCTGTTCCCAACTCTGGCATGGGACCTCAGAACATACTTCCGATGAAGTGTACCAATTTTCGTTTCGATTGATCAAACTTTGGCCGAGATACAGCCTCTTAACCAATTTTGGGTGGACCTCGTTAAGTTTGCGACATTATAACTTTTTTTTTCCAGTATAACAAAAAAATCGGGAACAGTACTTTTATGCGGCTCAGTCTGAAGATCATTTGAGTGCATGTTTGGAGAAAATTGGAGAAAATTTGAAGGAGGAGTAGCGAAATAACTGAATACTGTACATTTCAAAATGGCCACTACTGTTATGGGCGGGGTCTTAATGTAAGGTATTGGTTGTGATCAGCATGATGAGTGGAATCAGGTGTACTAAGTTTCATGTCTCTAGATCAAAGGGTTCAAAAGTTATAACCATTTCAATGTTGAATTTTTGAACTGATGGTGGCGCTATAGAGTTGGTCCTAGAGGGTCAAAAATTGGTCCAATTACTATTCATTAGCATCACTACAAGTGTGCCAAATTTCATCATTTTCCTATGTACGGTTCATAGGGCTGCCATAGACTTCCATTTGCGGAAGAAGAAGAAGAAGAATAATAATAATAATAATAATAAGAAAACCAACAGATACAATAGGTGCCTCTGCACCTTCGGTGCTTGGCCCCTAAATATAGCTGCAAGCAGCAACACGGGGCCAAGCCCTGCAAGGCACCGCAATTAGAACAAGTACAGCAAAGTTCAAAGGCTTAGCAGAACAAGTACTGCAAACTGCAAG